TATGGTTGTTTCGCATTATATGTCCAAAATATTCTAGCTAACGTTGTTTCACTGTGGATATAATTTCACATGTTTTTTCAAATGTTTGTTAGTCGGTCCACACAGGAGATCCTCAGGATGAGTCTATTACATCACATCTCAAACGCCTCGAGTTTTCCCATGGATGCCTCAATTAGTGTTCATGATTCAACCCCATAGAGCAGCAATGTAAACACGTAGCTCAGGGTTTCCCAACCTTTTCTTTGTTGGGGCTCCCCGGACTATAAATTAAATTTTTATGCCCCCCCTTTACTTTTTTAACAAATACAACAAAAAACGCACATTATATACTTAAAATTTTATTTTAATTCTAATAAACAAATTTTAAAAGTATAATTAAACTAGTACATGTTTTTTATCAAAAAAATTAAATTTAACAAAGTAAATATTAATAAGACACTTAAGATTGCATATTCTGTACTATTTAGTTGATTCTAGGATCTGTTTTTGCCAGAGCTATCATCAGGTCGCTATCGACATCAAGACGATTTTGCTGTTTAGTTTTAATTAAAACTAGAGCAGAAAAGCCTGTCTCACATGAGTAAGTTGAAGAAAAAGGAACTAGTATTCGTAAAGCAAGAGAGGCAACCTTCGAATTAACAGGCAATCTTTTAATCCAAAATGTCTCCAATGTCAAGAGATGAAGTCATCTTTCATGGACGAGTCAGCCATCATATCTAGAAATTCTTCCTGAATTACGCCATATTGGTGACTCTGAATTGATGTCTCGATAGTATCGGCGAAATTCGTCTTTCAGCGCTTGCAAATGAGTTTTTATGTCAGGTTTCAAATTTGCGTCAAGTATATTATTTTTAATTACTTCGAACAGCCGAGAAAACGACATAACATTTTCAGAAGAGATTTTTTGATTCCAAAGTTGAAGCTTTGATATGAACCCCTGAATATAATCATAATTGCTTATTATAGTGCCGTTACTGCCCTGAAGTTTTAAGTTTAGTTCATTCAAGGCATCGAATATGTCAGCCAAATAAGCCAACCTCCATTGAAATGTGTCATCTTTGAACATTGTGAAGAAATCGTGTTTTTCTTTGAACTCGAGAAAAAGAATTACTTCTTCTTTCAATTCATAAAGGCGAGCCAACATGTTGCCTTTGGATAGCCAGTGTACTTCTATAAGGAACAGAAGAACTTTGTGATCAGAATCAAGATCCTCGCAAAGTAAAGTAAATAAACGACTGTTTAAAGCGCTGCTCTTAATGTAGTTTACAATCCTTATAGCCGAGTCCAAAGTCTGGCGTAATTTCTGTGGTAATGTTTTGGAAGCCAAAGCTTGCCGATGAATAACACAATGTGTACTAACCATTGCAGGATTTTTTTCTTTGAGCTTTTTAGCTAGGCCTGATCGTACACCTATCATTGCAGGTGCACCATCTGTGCAAAGTCCAATGAGTTTATTCCAATCTAAGTCATGTTTTTCAACAAAATTTGATATTGAATTAAATATATTCTCAGAAGTAGTACCTGCTGTCAAAGATTGAGAGTACAAAATCTCTTCTTCAATGATATCTCCGCCGATGTGACGAACATACACTATTAACTGTGCACAATTAACGATGTCGGTGGATTCATCGGAACTAATTGCAAAAAATGGCGATAATTTTACTTTGTTGATTATTTGTGACTTTATGTCTGCTGCAATGTCATCGATTCTACGCTTGACTGTATTATCCGAAAGAGAAATAGATTGCATTTTTTGCTCTTCATGTTCTCCTAAAATTATCTGCTTGGCTTTTAAGACACACGGTTTTATTAATTCTTCACCAATAGTATGAGGTTTCTTTTGCTTTGCTATCACAAAAGCTATTTCAAATGAAGCTTTGAGATGCTGCGATACACCTTTGTGATAACTTCCCGATTTATCCAATCTCATCTGCTTGAGTGATTCTGCTTTAGAAGAAAAAAACTCTTGCGTCTTCAAAACCAGAATAGGATGTTGTACCTTCAAATGTCCTTCAAGGCGATTGGGCCTCATGCTATCATTACTTAAAACTTTCATAAATATCAAACACTGAGGTAACTATAACTCGTCTTTTTCTATGAAGGTAAATCCAAACTTAATATAATCTTCGGACAAATTTTCTTTTATTCGCTGCCATTTTGCAACCTATAACAATAAAACAGTAATAAATAAACAAGCAAAATACCTACATGTAATTACTATTTATAAATACCTATTTATCTTAATAACGTAATGTATTTAACGTTTCAAAATTAATTCGCCACGTAGGTTTGATTGTAATGTGTTAAAAAAGATCCAATGATCGATCTACGAACGCATCTTAGCTCAATCAATAATTTGGTAAATTAAATAAAAATGACAACTGTAGTTTGTAAATACACAAACTTACCTTGAAACACAATAATTATACACACTCAAACTAATTTCTCAGCAACAAATTGATACGGAAACGTCAAATTTTTCGTAAATTTGTGTGAATGAATGTCACAGATGCTCATGCACGTCCGGTAGGTACTCAACTATTTTCTATCTACCTATGATCTAATCCTAATTCCTAATGAACGTTATGCGGAATCGGTGCTGAGGGGTTGCGCGCGGATTTCATGTAGTGGCTTGTCGAAACTTATATAAACTACGATTGACGACGTTGGTGTCGGGTTTTGAAACGGTTGTTGACATATTTAATTTCATTAATTTTATCCGTGTAAATTAAACATTACATTGTAATATTATTTGTAAATGTTGTTTGATTATTTTTTTTTCTTTCTAAAATCGCAAACGTCTTTCGCCCCCCTTGACATCTCTCTATGCCCCCCTGGTTGGGAACTCCGGAGTCGGAGCTTCTCAATAAACGGATTTTTGTTTTTAAGGGTAGGTTTTGGCTCTTATCTATATCTTGCTCATTCTAAAAAACGCTGACCTGACTTTTTCAATGCTCTGTTTTATCTCCACTGAGTGGTCCCGTTGGTTGTTTATGGTGGTTCCTAAATAGTAGTAACGGGGCACTTGGAGTATTTGCTGCTGATCTACCAGTATATGACTAGGTGGAATATGCTGCTATGATCTACCAGTAATTGACTATATCAAGCCCGTACTTCTAACTGATTCTCCACAACTGCGTTACTAGTGTCTGTAAACCTTCTAGACTGTCTGCAAAGAGGATGGTGTCGTCTGCATATCTGATGTTATTCAGGCGTTCACCATTTATGAGAATACCCTCTTCGTATGCAGCCCTGTCGTACTCGTCTCTTTATTGCAACTTCTTCTGTTAGTTGATCTTTCACCCGAATGGTTGCTGATTGGTTGTAGTATATGTTCTTGAATTATCGAAGGTCTTTGATATCCAGATCAGTTGCCTTTAGTATATTTATGAGCTTATCGTGCTTGATTCTATAAATATCGTGGTAGTCGATAAAGCATACATAAATATCGCAGTTGACGTCTCTGCACATTTGAAGTAATACCTGAACCGCGAACAAGGCTTCTCTTGTACCTAACGCATCCCTGAATCCAAACTGCGTTTATGAGATCTGTGACTAGCATAATAATTATGATAAATTGTTCTGTGTATTAAGTTTAAGAAGGTCTTAAGAATGTGGCTCATTAGACTGATAATACGATGTTCTTCGCATTTTTTTGCATTAGGATTTTAGGTATAGCAATAAATCTAAATTTTACCCAACTCTCTGGGATTTTTCCCGAGTCATAGATTTTATTGAATGTTGTCGTAAGCGAGTTTACTCCTTCGTCTTTCGTGATTTTTAGAAATTCTGAATGAAAGTTGGGCCCTGGTGCTTTACCTTCTTTGGTTGCTTTAATTGCGGCTTTGACTTCGGCTTGAGTGATTGGTGGTCCTGTGTTATGTTCCATAATTATCTGGTTGTTATCTCTGTCGTCATCGAATGTCTTCTCAACGTATCTCTTCCATATATTCTTTGTTTGTTTAATATCTACTACCAGGTAGCTATGATCATCAGTCATAGGTCCTGATCTCTTGGGTTTATACATTTCTGCTGCCTCTTTTACCTTTTTGTGGAGATTAAATGAGTCGTGTCTACCTTCCGATGATTCTATTTCTCTGCATTGATCTTCAAAACATTTGTTTTTGGTTTCTCTAATAGCTTTTTTTATTTATTTGTCAACTCGTTTATACTCCCACATGTCTCTGTTTTTAGCTCTTCTTTTATTCTCTATCATATTTAGGATTTTATCAGTAATCCACTCTTTCTTTTTAACCGTTGTTAGGCGAAGATGTTTATCTAGGATTGTCTGGTTAATTTGTTGTAGCTTTGTCATTTCGTTATATGTTTCATTAGCTTTGTCTGTACTTTTTAATTCTTTTTCTATATAGGTTTGTATCTGGTGCCTGCTGTCTTTATTTTTTAATGGTCCTAAATCATACTTTCCAGCTCTTGCACTCTCTATCTTCTTCAACTTTAGTCTGATGTTAACTACCAGTGTGGAAATGAGTATGTGGAAAAATGAATAATTGAGTAAATTAAAAAATATAAAGTTTTAACCTGTGGGATTAAATTAAATCTAGAATTTTATGCGAAATCTAAAAATGCAATAATATAAAGGGTATTCTATTTAAAATAACAAAGTTCATATTTACTCCTGGTATAACCGTAAATGTCATTTCTCTCAGAATTGTCTTTAAGTTTGTTATAACTTGAAATCCTAATTAACCAATTTTCATAAGTATGTTGTGTCGTTTTCAATGTATATGTAGGGCAAGCTCGCCGTGACACACTCTTTATATGTATTTGTTATTTTACGTCTTATTATACTTCTGTTCCATAGTTTTTCTTTTGTATTTAATGATCCTCTCTACAATGACGAACTTAATAATACTAGAACATTGTTAGCTCGAGGAATGTTCGTGCAACATTTCAAATAATAGGATAGCAAGAATATTATGCATTTCTGCTTGTTTATTTTTTATTTTATTAAAGAAAAGAATAAAAAAGCCAATTTTTTTTTAATATTATTTATTCTAACAAATACTTTTGTTCTTCACCATTATTGCATTTTATGCATTTAATCTGTTTGAGATCTTTAATAAAATTAAGTATTCTATCCTGTACTTCTTTCAATACCCTCTTCTCAATGACCCCGTCCACCACCTCGTCCGCGTCCATGCCCAATACCATTATTGCCATGACCTTTTGCGAATGATTGTCCACGATTCTCTACACCTTTAATAATACTTTGGCCTTCTTGTTGACCAGAACTGTGGCTGGAAAAGGATTTTGTAACTGTGGAATGACTTCCATAACCAATGCCATTATTTTCATGACCTTTTACAAAAGATTGATCCCGATTTTCCACATTTTGTTCTCCAATACGTCTTGTTACAGCTTTTTGAATTATTTTGGAGCCGGTTCCATAACCAATTCCATTATTCCCATGACCATTTAATACAGACTGTTCATGCTCACCAACCTGGCTTGAACCGGTGCTGCTTGTTTTAGTTATTGTTTGAGTCTTTGTCGAACTGCTTCCATAACCAAGTCCATTATTCTCATGAGCTCTTAGAACTGATTGTTCTACTTCACCAACATTTTGTCCACCGTGACCTCCCAGGTGTTTAGTTACAGTGGTTTGAATTAATTTGGAATTGCTTCCATAGCCAATTCCATTATTTCCATGACCATTTAAGAATGAATGTTCAAGATCACCAACCTGGTTTGAACTGGTGCTGCTTGTTTTACTTATTGTTTGAGTCTTTGTGGAATTGCTTCCATAACCAAGTCCATTATTCTCATGACCTCTTAGGACTGATTGTTCTAGTTCACCAACATTTTGTCCACCGTGACCTCCAAGGTGTTTAGTTATAGTGGCTTGAATTACCTTGGAACCGCTTCCATGGCCAATTCCATTATTTCCGTGACCATTTATTATAGACTGATCAAGATCACCAACCTGGCTTGAACTGGTGCTGCTTGTTTTAGTTATTGTTTGAGTGTTTGTCGAACTGCTTCCATGACCAAGTCCATTATTCTCATGACCTCTTAGGACTGATTGTTCTAGTTCACCAACCTTTTGTCCACCGTGACCTCCAAGGTGTTTAGTTACAGTGGTTTGAATTACCTTGGAACCGCTTCCATGGCCAATTCCATTATTTACATGACCATTTAATATTGAATGTTCAATATCACCAACCTGGTTAGAACTGGTGCTGCTTGTTTTAGTTATTGTTTGAGTCTTTGTCGAACTGCTTCCATAACCATGTCCCTTATTTTCATGACCCCTTAGAACTGATTGTTCTAGTTCACCAACCTTTTGTCCACCGTGACCTCCAAGGTGTTTAGTTACAGTGGTTTGAATTACCTTAGAACCGCTTCCATGGCCAATTCCATTATTTCCATGGCCATTTAAGATAGATTGTTCAAGATCACCAATCTGGCCTGAACTGGAGGTAATTGATTTAGTTATTGTTTCGGTCTTTGTAGAACTGCTCCCATAACCAAGTCCATTATTCTCATGACCTCTTAGGACTGATTGTTCTAGTTCACCAACCTTTTGTCCACCGTGACCTCCAACGTGTTTAGTTACAGTGTTTTGAATTACCTTGGAACCGCTTCCATGGCCAATTCCATTATTTCCATGACCATTTAATATTGAATGTTCAATATCACCAACCTGGTTAGAACTGGTGCTGCTTGTTTTAGTTATTGTTTGAGTCTTTGTCGAACTGCTTCCATAACCATGTCCATTATTTTCATGACCTCTTAGAACTGATTGTTCTAGTTCACCAACCTTTTGTCCACCGTGACCTCCAAGGTGTTTAGTTACAGTGGTTTGAATTAACTTGGAAGCGCTTCCATGGCCAATTCCATTATTTACATGACCATTTAAGATAGTTTGTTCAAGATCACCAACCTGGCCTGAACTGGAGGTAATTGATTTAGTTATTGTCTGAGTCTTTGTGGAACTGCTTCCATAACCAAGTCCATTATTTTCATGACCTCTTAGAACTGATTGTTCTAGTTCACCAACATTTTGTCCACCGTGACCTCCAAGGTGTTTAGTTACAGTGGTTTGAATTACCTTGGAACCGCTTCCATGGCCAATTCCATTATTTCCATGACCATTTAATATTGAATGTTCAATATCACTAACCTGGTTGGAACTGGTGCTGCTTGTTTTAGTTATTGTTTGAGTCTTTGTCGAACTGCTACCATAACCAAGTCCATTATTTTCATGTCCTCTTAGAACTAATTGTTCTAGTTCACCAACCTTTTGTCCACCGTGACCTCCATGGTGTTTAGTTACAGTGGTTTGAATTAACTTGGAAGCGCTTCCGTGGCCAATTCCATTATTTCCATGACCATTTAAGATAGTTTGTTCAAGATCACCAACCTGGCCTGAACTGGAGGTAATTGATTTAGTTATTGTCTGAGTCTTTGTGGAAGTACTTCCATAACCAAGTCCATTATTTTCATGACCTGTTAGAACTGATTGTTCTAGTTCACCAACCTTTTGTCCACCGTGACCTCCAAGATGTTTAGTTACAGTAGTTTGAATTACCTTGGAACCGCTTCCATGGCCAATTCCATTATTTCCATGACCATTTAAGATAGATTGTTCAAGATCACCAACCTGGCCTGAACTGGAAGTAATTGATTTAGTTATTGTTTGAGTCTTTGTGGAACTACTTCCATAACCAAGTCCATTATTTTCATGACCTCTTAGAACTGATTGTTCTAGTTCACCAACCTTTTGTCCACCGTGACCTCCAAGGTGTTTAGTTACAGTGGTTTGAATGACCTTGGAATCGCTTCCATGGCCAATTCCATTATTTCCATGACCATTTAAGATTGAATGTTCAATATCACCAACCTGGTTCGAAGTGGTGCTGCTTGTTTTAGTTATTGTTTGAGTCTTTGTCGAACTGCTTCCATAACCAAGTCCATTATTTTCATGACCTCTTAGAATTAATTGTTCTAGTTCACCAACCTTTTTTCCACCGTGATCTCCAAGGTGTTTAGTTACAGTGGTTTGAATTACCTTGGAACCGCTTCCATGGCCAATTCCATTATTTCCATGACCATTTAAGATTGAATGTTCAATATCACCAACCTGGTTAGAACTGGTGCTGCTTGTTTTAGTTATTGTTTGAGTCTTTGTCGAACTGCTTCCATAACCATGTCTATTATTTTCATGACCTCTTAGAACTGATTGTTCTAGTTCACCAACCTTTTGTCCATCGTGACCTCCAAGGTGTTTAGTTATAGTGGCTTGAATTACCTTGGAACTGCTTTCATGGCCAATTCCATTATTTTCGTGACCATTTAGAATAGATTGTTCAACATCACCAACCTGGCCTGAACTGGAGGTAATTAATTTAGTTATTGTTTGAGTCTTTGTGGAACTGCTTCCATAACCAAGTCCATTATTTTCATGACCTCTTAGAACTGATTGTTCTAGTTCACCAACCTTTTGTCCACCTTGACCTCCAAGGTGTTTAGTTACAGTAGTTTGAATTACCTTGGAACCGCTTCCATGGCCAATTCCATTATTTCCATGACCATTTAAGATTGAATGTTCAATATCACTAACCTGGTTAGAGCTGGTGCTGCTTGTCTTAGTTATTGTTTGAGTGTTTGTCGAACTGCTTTCATGACCAAGTCCATTATTCTCATGACCTCTTAGGACTGATTGTTCTAGTTTACCTACATTTTGTCCACCGTGACCTCCAAGGTGTTTAGTTACAGTGGTTTGAATTACTTTGGAACCGCTTCCATAGCCAATTCCATTATTTCCATGACCATTTAAGATTGAATGTTCAAGATTACCAACCTGGCTTGAACTGGTGCTGCTTGTTTTAGTTATTGTTTGAGTCTTTGTCGAACTGCTTCCATGACCAAGTCCATTATTCTCATGACCTCTTAGGACTGATTGTTCTAGTTCACCAAACTTTTGTCCACCGTGACCTCCAAGGTGTTTAGTTACAGTGGTTTGAATTACCTTGGAACCGCTTCCATGGCCAATTCCATTATTTCCATGACCATTTAATATTGAACGTTCAATATCACCATCCTGGTTAGAACTGGTGCTGCTTGTTTTAGTTATTGTTTGAGTCTTTGTCGAACTGCTTCCATAACCATGTCCATTATTTTCATGACCTCTTAGAACTGATTGTTCTAGTTCACCAACCTTTTGTCCACCGTGACCTCCAAGGTGTTTAGTTACAGTGGTTTGAATTACCTTAGAACCGCTTCCATGGCCAATTCTATTATTTCCATGACCATTTAAGATAGATTGTTCAAGATCACCAATCTGGCCTGAACTGGAGGTAATTGATTTAGTTATTGTTTCGGTCTTTGTGGAACTGCTTCCATAACCAAGTCCATTATTTTCTTGACCTCTTAGAACTGATTGTTCTAGTTCACCAATATTTTGTCCACCGTGACCTCCAAGGTGTTTAGTTACAGTGGTTTGAATTACCTTGGAACCGCTTCCATAACCAATTCCATTGTTTCCATGACTATTTAATATAGACTGTTCAAGATCACCAACCTGGCCTGAACTGGAGGTAATTGATTTAGTTATTGTTTGGGTCCTTGTGGAGCTGCTTCCATAACCAAGTCCATTATTTTCTTTACCATTCATGACTATTTGCTCAACATTACCAACAGTTTTTCCACCATGACCTCCAAGGTGTTTTGTTACAGTTCTTTGAATTACTTTGGAGTCACTATCAGAACCAATACCATTAATTTCATGATTATTTAATACAGATTGTCTAAGATCCCCAACATGGTCTAAACCGGTATTGGTTGTTTTAGTTACAGTTGTTTTTATAACTCTTAAACCTTTATCTGGACCAAATGCATCCAAATTATCTGTTCCATGAATCAATGTGCCCGGAACATCGGAGCTGGAAGAACTAGTTTTGATAATTGTAGTTTTTGTAGAACTGCTACCATAACCATATCCATCATTTTCATGACCACTTAAGACTAATTGCTGAATATCACCATTATTTTTTCCTCCAAGATGAGTGGTAATAGTTCTGTGAATTACTTTTGACCCATCTCCAATGCCAGTGTCAACTATATTCTCTTTAGCTTCTTGACCTGAACTAGAACTACTGGTCTTAATTTTGTTTGTCTTGATAACTTCTGAAGCGCTACCTAATCCCAATATATCAACACGATCTGCCCCATGAACTAATTTGCTCGGAACATCGGCACTAGATGAACTAGTTTTGGTGATTACAGTTTTTGAGGAGCTACCACCGTAACCAAGTACATTATCTCCATGACCGCTGAGGACAGATTGTTTAAGATCGCCAACATGACCTGAACCAGAGTTGCTTGTTTTAGTTATGGTTGTTTTAATAACATTTGAGCCGCCGAGTGTACTTAATACATCAACATCATCTTTTCCTTTACTAAGTTGTCTGCCGAAACCAAATTCTTTATCCGTGAGCAATGATTGACCATTAGAGGTAGATGAGCTAGTCTTGGTAATTACAGTCTTAGTGGAACTGCCACCGTAACCAAGTACATTATCTCCATGACCACTGAGAACAGATTGTTCAAGATCGCCAACATGACCTGAACCAGAGTTGCTTGTTTTAATTATGGTTGTTTTAATAACCTTTGAGCCACCTAGTGTACTTAATACATCAACATCATCTTTTCCTTTAATAAGTTGTCTGCCTAAACCAAAATCTTTATCCGTGAGCAATGATTGACCATTAGAGCTAGAGGAGCTAGTCTTGGTGATGACAGTTTTTTTGGAACTGCCACCGTAACCAAGTATCTTATCTCCATGACCGCTAAGGACGGATTGTTCAAAATCGTCACCATGATTTGAACCAGAGTTGCTTGTTTTAATTATGGTTGTTTTAATAACCTTTGATCCACCTAGTGTACTTAATACATCCACATCATCTTTTCCTTTAATAAGTTTGCTGCCCAAACCAAAACCTTCATTAGTCAGCAATGATTGACCATTAGAGCTAGAAGAACTAGTTTTGGTGATCACAGTTTTTGTGGAGCTACCACCGTAACCAAGTACATTATCTTCATGACCGCTGAGGACAGATTGTTCAGTATCTCCACCATGACTTGAATCAGAGTTGCTTGTTTTAATTATGGTTGTTTTAATAACCTTTGAGCCACCTAGTGTACTTAATACATCCACATCATCTTTTCCTTTAATAAGTTTGCTGCCCAAACCAAAACCTTCATTAGTCAGCAATGATTGACCATTAGAGCTAGAAGAACTAGTTTTGGTGATCACAGTTTTTGTGGAGCTACCACCGTAACCAAGTACATTATCTTCATGACCGCTGAGGACAGATTGTTCGGTATCTCCACCATGACTTGAATCAGAGTTGCTTGTTTTAATTATGGTTGTTTTAATAACCTTTGAGCCACCTAGTGTACTTAATATATCAACATCATCTTTTCCTTTAATAAGTTTGCTGCCCGAACCAAAATCTTTGTCCGTGAGCAATAAGTTACCATTAGAACTAGAAGAGCTAGTTTTAGTGATAACGGTTTTTGTGGAGCTACCACCGTGAGCAAGTATATTATCTTCATGACCGCTAAGGACAGATTGTTCAAGATCACCAACATGGCCTAAACCAGAGTTACTTGTTTTAATTATAGTTGTTTTGATAACCTTTGACCCACCTAGTGTACTTAATACATCAACATCATCTTTTCCTTTAATATGTTTGCTGCCCAAACCAAAGCCTTCATGACTCAGCAATGAGTTATCATTAGAACTAGAAGAGCTAGTTTTAGTGATAACAGTTTTTGTGGAGCTACCACCGTGACCAAGTATATTATCTCCATGACCGCTGAGAATGGATTGTTCAAGATCGCCACCATGACCTGAATCAGAGTTGCTTGTTTTAATTATGGTTGTTTTAATAACCTTTGAGCCACCTAGGGTACTTAATATATCAACATCATCTTTTCCTTTAATAAGTTTGCTGCCCAAACCAAAATCTTTATCGGTAAGCAATGACGGACCATTAGAGTTGGAAGAACTAGTCTTGGTGATTATAGTTTTTGTGAAACTGCCGCCGTTACCCATTAAATTATTTTTTTGACCATTTAAAACAGATTGTTCAATATCACCAATTTGGTCTGAAGATTTAGTGATTGTAGTTTTAGTAACTGAAGCGCCACTGTTTTTATTTTTTATATCAATAACTTGATCTTTAGTGACAGGTTGTCCAGAACTAGTGACTTTGATAATTTCTACTGGCTTGTCAAAATGTTGCGTTTTAACTACTTTGGAAATACCTTCAACATCTGGTTCTACAAGATTTTTGTCTTCGCCGTAGGAATGAGAAGAGCTCGTTTTGGTAACCACTGTTTTAATTACTGCAGACCCGCTACTTTCCTCTGGTTTGTCGGAAGTCACTGTTTTAACTATTTTTGAAACATCTAAATCTGGTCCAACAAGGTTGTTACCTTCATTAAGAGAATTAGAAGAAGTTGTTTTAGTGACTGTTGTTGTAATGACCCTCGATCCACTGTTGGAACTTACTACTGGTACATCTAAATTCTCAGTTTTGACAACCTTGGTTACACCTCCATAACCTCCCAAGCCCAAATTTTCATCGGTAGTTTTTGTGATTATAGTTGTAATTGTTTCTGTCCCACCTGATTGACTTGTTTTAGTGACTTTTGTCACCTTAGATCCACTATTTTCAGTCGAGTTCAAGTTGTCTTCTTCGTGATCAACTATTATTTTATTTAATTCCAATGGTTCCTTTAATTGATCAGTTGAGTGGGAAGTTTTGGTTATTGTGGTTTTAACAACATTAGATGCTGTACTTTTGCCTACTGTGTCTACGTCTTTATCTTTGGAAACCGTTTTTACAATATCAAGTCCAGCTTTATGAAGTAGATCAGAATCTTGATCTAAAGAGCTAGCACTGGAATGAGTAATCACTGTTTTGGTGACTGTAGATCCGCTACTGTCCACTGGTTTATCTAAAGTTACTGTTTTAACTACTTTTGAAATATCTCCAAAATCTGGTCCAACAAGGTTGTTACCTTCATCAAAAGAATTGGAAGAAGTTGTTTTAGTGACTGTTGTTGTAATGACTTTCGATCCACTGTTGGAACTTACTGCTGGTACATCGAAATTCTCAGTTTTGATAACCTTGGTTACACCTCCATAACCTCCCAAGTCCAAATTTTCATCGGTAGTTTTTGTGATTGTAGTTGTAATTGTTTCTGTTCCGCCTGATTGACTTATTTTTGTGACTTTTGTGACCTTAGATCCACTATTTTCATTCGAGTTCAAATCATCTTCTTCGTGAATATCTATTTTTTTATTTATTTCCAAAGGTTCCTTTAATGAATCAGGTGAGTTAGAAGTTTTTGTTATTGTGGTTTTAACAACATTAGATGCTGTACTTTTGCCTACTGTGTCTATGTCTTTATCTTTGGAAACCGTTTTTACAATATCAAGTCCAGCTTTATGAAGTAGATCAGAATCTTGATCTAAAGAGCTACCGCTGGAATGAGTAACCACTGTTTTGGTGACTGCAGATCCGCTACTGTCCACTGGTTTATCTAAAGTTACTGTTTTAACTACTTTTGAAATATCTCCAAAATCTGGTCCAACAAGGTTGTTACCTTCATCAAAAGAATTCGAAGAAGTTGTTTTAGTGACTGTTGTTGTAATGACTTTCGATCCACTGTTGGAACTTACTGCTGGTACATCGAAATTCTCTGTTTTGATAACCTTGGTTACACCTCCATAACCTCCCAAGTCCAAATTTTCATCGGTAGTTTTTGTGATTGTAGTTGTAATTGTTTCTGTTCCGCCTGATTGACTTATTTTTGTGACTTTTGTGACCTTAGATCCACTATTTTCATTCGAGTTCAAATCATCTTCTTCGTGAACATCTATTTTTTTATTTATTTCCAAAGGTTCCTTTAATGAATCAGGTGAGTTAGAAGTTTTTGTTATTGTGGTTTTAACAACATTAGATGCTGTACTTTTGCCTACTGTGTCTATGTCTTTATCTTTGGAAACCGTTTTTACAATATCAAGTCCAGTTTTATGAAGTAGATCAGAATCTTGATCTAAAGAGCTACCGCTGGAATGAGTAACCACTGTTTTGGTGACTGTAGATCCGCTACTGTCCACTGGTTTATCTAAAGTTACTGTTTTAACTACTTTTGAAATATCTCCAAAATCTGGTCCAACAAGGTTGTTACCTTCATCAAAAGAATTGGAAGAAGTTGTTTTAGTGACTGTTGTTGTAATGACTTTCGATCCACTGTTGGAACTTACTGCTGGTACATCGAAATTCTCTGTTTTGATAACCTTGGTTACACCTCCATAACCTCCCAAGTCCAAATTTTCATCGGTAGTTTTTGTGATTGTAGTTGTAATTGTTTCTGTTCCACCTGATTGACTTATTTTTGTGACTTTTGTGACCTTAGATCCACTATTTTCATTCGAGTTCAAATCATCTTCTTCGTGAACATCTATTTTTTTATTTATTTCCAAAGGTTCCTTTAATGAATCAGGTGAGTTAGAAGTTTTTGTTATTGTGGTTTTAACAACATTAGATGCTGTACTTTTGCCTACTGTGTCTATGTCTTTATCTTTGGAAACCGTTTTTACAATATCAAGTCCAGCTTTATGAAGTAGATCAGAATCTTGATCTAAAGAGCTACCGCTGGATTGAGTAACCACTGTTTTGGTGACTGTAGATCCGCTACTGTCCACTGGTTTATCTAAAGTTACTGTTTTAACTACTTTTGAAATATCTCCAAAATCTGGTCCAACAAGGTTGTTACCTTCATCAAAAGAATTCGAAGAAGTTGTTTTAGTGACTGTTGTTGTAATGACTTTCGATCCACTGTTGGAACTTACTGCTGGTACATCGAAATTCTCTGTTTTGATAACCTTAGTTACACCTCCATAACCTCCCAAGTCCAAATTTTCATCGGTAGTTTTTGTGATTGTAGTTGTAATTGTTTCTGTTCCACCTGATTGACTTATTTTTGTGACTTTTGTGACCTTAGATCCACTATTTTCATTCGAGTTCAAATCATCTTCTTCGTGAACATCTATTTTTTTATTTATTTCCAAAGGTTCCTTTAATGAATCAGGTGAGTTAGAAGTTTTTGTTATTGTGGTTTTAACAACATTAGATGCTGTACTTTTGCCTACTGTGTCTATGTCTTTATCTTTGGAAACCGTTTTTACAATATCAAGTCCAGCTTTATAAAGTAGATCAGAATCTTGATCTAAAGAGCTACCGTTGGAATGAGTAACGACTGTTTTGGTGATTGTCGACCCGCTACTTTCCAGTGGTTTGTCGGAAGTCAGTGTTTTAACTATTTTTGAAACATCTCCAAAATCTGGTACAACAAGGTTGTTACCTTCATCAAAAGAATTGGAAGAAGTTGTTTTAGTGACTGTTGTTGTAATGACTTTCGATCCACTGTTGGAACTTACTGCTGGTACATCGAAATTCTCAGTTTTGATAACCTTGGTTACACCTCCATAACCTCCCAAGTCCAAATTTTCATCGGTAGTTTTTGTGATTGTAGTTTTAATTGTTTCTGTTCCACCTGATTGACTTATTTTTGTGACTTTTGTGACCTTAGATCCACTATTTTCATTCGAGTTCAAATCATCTTCTTCGTGAACATCTATTTTTTTATTTATTTCCAAAGGTTCCTTTAATGAATCAGGTGAGTTAGAAGTTTTTGTTATTGTGGTTTTAACAACATTAGATGCTGTACTTTTGCCTACTGTGTCTATGTCTTTATCTTTGGAAACCGTTTTTACAATATCAAGTCCAGCTTTATGAAGTAGATCAGAATCTTGATCTAAAGAGCTACCGCTGGATTGAGTAACCACTGTTTTGGTGACTGTAGATCCGCTACTGTCCACTGGTTTATCTAAAGTTACTGTTTTAACTACTTTTGAAATATCTCCAAAATCTGGTCCAACAAGGTTGTTACCTTCATCAAAAGAATTCGAAGAAGTTGTTTTAGTGACTGTTGTTGTAATGACTTTCGATCCACTGTTGGAACTTACTGCTGGTACATCGAAATTCTCTGTTTTGATAACCTTAGTTACACCTCCATAACCTCCCAAGTCCAAATTTTCATCGGTAGTTTTTGTGATTGTAGTTGTAATTGTTTCTGTTCCACCTGATTGACTTATTTTTGTGACTTTTGTGACCTTAGATCCACTATTTTCATTCGAGTTCAAATCATCTTCTTCGTGAACATCTATTTTTTTATTTATTTCCAAAGGTTCCTTTAATGAATCAGGTGAGTTAGAAGTTTTTGTTATTGTGGTTTTAACAACATTAGATGCTGTACTTTTGCCTACTGTGTCTATGTCTTTATCTTTGGAAACCGTTTTTACAATATCAAGTCCAGCTTTATAAAGTAGATCAGAATCTTGATCTAAAGAGCTACCGTTGGAATGAGTAACGACTGTTTTGGTGATTGTCGACCCACTACTTTCCAGTGGTTTGTCGGAAGTCAGTGTTTTAACTATTTTTGAAACATCTCCAAAATCTGGTACAACAAGGTTGTTACCTTCATCAAAAGAATTGGAAGAAGTTGTTTTAGTGACTGTTGTTGTAATGACTTTCGATCCACTGTTGGAACTTACTGCTGGTACATCGAAATTCTCAGTTTTGATAACCTTGGTTACACCTCCATAACCTCCCAAGTCCAAATTTTCATCGGTAGTTTTTGTGATTGTAGTTGTAATTGTTTCTGTTCCACCTGATTGACTTATTTTTGTGACTTTTGTGACCTTAGATCCACTATTTTCATTCGAGTTCAAATCATCTTCTTCGTGAACATCTATTTTTTTATTTATTTCCAAAGGTTCCTTTAATGAATCAGGTGAGTTAGAAGTTTTTGTTATTGTGGTTTTAACAACATTAGATGCTGTACTTTTGCCTACTATGTCTATGTCTTTATCGTTGGAAACCGTTTTTACAATATCAAGTCCACCTTTATGAAGTAGATCAGAATCTTGATCTAAAGAGCTACCGCTGGAATGAGTAACCACTGTTTTGGTGACTGTAGACCCGCTACTTTCCAGTGGTTTGTCGGAAGTCAGTGTTTTAACTATTTTTGAAACATCTCCAAAATCTGGTCCAACAAGGTTGTTACCTTCATCAACAGAATTAGAAGAAGTTGTTTTAGTGACTGTTGTAATGACTCTCGATCCACTGTTGGAACTTACTGCTGGTATATCGAAATTCTCAGTTTTGATAACCTTGGTTACACCTCCATAACCTCCCAAGTCCAAATTTTCATCGGTAGTTTTTGTGATTGTAGTTGTAATTGTTTCTGTTCCACCTGATTGACTTGTTTTTGTTACTTTTGTGACCTTAGATCCACTATTTCCATTCGAGTTCATATCATCTTCTTCGTGAACATCTATTTTTTTATTTATTTCCAAAGGTTCCTTTAATAAATCAGGTGAGTGAGAAGTTTGTGTTGTGGTTTTAACAACATTAGATCCTGTACTTTTGTCTAGTGTATCTAGGTCTTTATCTTTGGAAACCGTTTTTACAATATCAAGTCCACCTTTGTGAAGTAGATCAGAATCTTTATCTAAAGAGCTATCGCTGGAATGAGTAACCACTGTTTTGGTGACTGTAGACCCGCTACTTTCCAGTGGTTTATCGAAAGTTACTGTTTTAACTACTTTTGAAATATCTCCAAAATCTGGTTCAACAAGGTTGTTACCTTCATCAAAAGAATTGGAAGAAGTTGTTTTAGTAACTGTTGTAGTAATGACTTTCGATCCACTATTGGAACTTACTGCTGGTACATCGAAATTCTCAGTTTTGATAACCTTGGTTACACCTTCATAACCTCCCAAGTCCAAATTTTCATCGGTAGTTTTTGTGATTGTAGTTGTAATTGTTTCTGTTCCACCTGATTGACTTGTTTTTGTGACTTTTGTGACCGTAGATTCACTATTTTCATTCGACTTCAAATCGTCTTCTTCGTGAACATCTATTTTTTTATTTATTTCCAAAGGTTCCTTTAATGAATCAGGTGAGTTAGAAGTTTTTTTTATTGTGGTTTTAACAACATTAGATGCTGTACTTTTGCCTACTGTGTCTATGTCTTTATCTTTGGAAACCGTTTTTACAATATCAAGTCCAGCTTTATGAAGTAGATCAGAATCTTGATCTAAAGAGCTACCGCTGGAATGAGTAACCACTGTTTTGGTGACTGTAGACCCGCTACTTTCCAGTGGTTTATCGAAAGTTACTGTTTTAACTACTTTTGAAATATCTCCAAAATCTGGTTCAACAAGGTTGTTACCTTCATCAAAAGAATTGGAAGAAGTTGTTTTAGTAACTGTTGTTGTAATGACTTTCGATCCACTGTTGGAACTTACTGCTGGTACATCAAAATTCTCAGTTTTGATAACCTTGGTTATACCTCCATAACCTCTTAAGTCCAAATTTTCATCGGTAGTTTTTGTGATTGTAGTTGTAATTGTTTTTGTTCCACCTGATTGACTTGTTTTTGTGACTTTTGTGACCTTAGATCCACTATTTTCATTCGAGTTCATATCGTCTTCTTCGTGAACATCTATTTTTTGATTTATTTCCAAAGGTTCCTTTAATGAATCAGGTGAGTGAGAAGTTTTTGTTATTGTGGTTTTAACAACATTAGATCCTGTACTTTGGCCTAGTGTGTCTAGGTCTTTGTCTTTGGAAACCTTTTTGACAATATCAAGTCCACCTTTATGAAGTAGATCAGAATCTTTATCTAAAGAGCTACCGCTAGAATGAGAACTTGTTTTAGTGATGGTTGTCTTAATAATTTTAGATCCACTAATTGACTTAAAGTCTTTGTCTTTGTGGAAAAGGTTATCTGTATTACCATTGTCTACATTTTTATTAATTTGTTGTGTAGTTATTACTTTTAAAGCACCTTCATTTTCGTTTTTATCTGCAGATTGTCCACTAGTATCTACAGTTTTTGTAATTGTCGTTTTAGTAATTGTAGAACCAGTATTCTTAGTCAATCTATCAATATCATTTCCTTGATGAATATTTTGAAGAGTTTTAACTGTATTTAAGCTACTTTTATTAAGACCAAGATTAGAAGCCTGTTCTTTATTTACGAAGGAGCCACCTGTTTGACTGGAACTTGTTTTTGTGCTTGTCGTTTTAGTAATTTTATAACCATTGCCCTTATTTAACAAATTCAAGTTACTATTCAAGTCATGGATCTTTTGGTCCACTGTTTCACTAGATCCATTTTTTCTTTCGTTAGAGTTTTCATCTGAATTGCTGTTTGTTTGAGAAAAGGTTTTCGTAATTGTAGTTTTAATAGTTTTTGATCCACCTAATACACTAACATCACTGTTTTTATTGTTAGACTCTTCAGTTATATACTCGTTTGAACCGTTTTCTTCATCTACGTGTGCATTGTGACCACTCCTATGCTTAGTAGTCTTTTTAATAACTGTGGTTTTAATAATTTTGGAGCCACCTTCAGATACTGACTCATTATCTGCATCTGTGCGATCAAGTCCATTTGCAATATCTAGAGTTTCTGAACTCGAAGCTAATTCACCTTCACCATAATTAGTAACTGTTGTTTTTACTTTTCGATATCCTGATTGGGAATGTTCCAAGTTAGAGTTAGAATGACCCAGTCCCCGTCCATGACCATTATTATGACCACGGACGTTGCCATGACCATAGCTGGACACTACGGTTTCAACTCTTTTTACACCAGAATTTGAATGATGGTTGCTATCGGTACTTTCCAAATCTATTTCTGAACTATCATGACCGTTTCTATGACCATGGCCATAGGTTGACACTATGGTTTCAACTCTTTTTACACCAGAATTTGAATGATGGTTGCTATCGATACTTTCCAAATCTATTTCTGAATTATCATGACCGTTTCTATGACCATGGCCATAGCTAGATATCACTGTTTCAACTTTTCTAAACCCAGAATCTAAATGATCATGGTGATGAGTGTTTGCCAAATCTAAATTAAAATGACCATGTCCGTGAACAATATCATGATCATGCCCGTGAACAATATCATGATCATGTCCGTGAACAATACCATGACCATGATCATAGTTGGATACTACTGTTTCCACTTCTCTAAATCCAGGGTGTAAGTGATCACTGTGATGACCATGTACTAAATCTATTTCAGAATGGCCGTGAACATGGTCATAATCATGACCGTGACTGGAAACTATTGATTCAACCTCCGTAAATCCAGAATCTAAGTGACCACTATGATGACCATGTTCTAGATTAACTTCTGAATTACCGTGACCATTACCATGACCATGCCCATAGCTGGTAACGACCGTTTCAACTTTCCTATATCCAGAATTAGAGTGACCACCTGAACCAGTTTCTTCTAGTTCTTCTCCTGAACGATCAAGAGAGCTACCATGACCATGAATATTGCTGGAAACTACAGTTTTAACCTTCTTATATCCAGAATTTGAGTGGCCCCTGTTACCATTGCGTTCCAAATTTAATTCTGAACTATCGTGGTCATTACCATGATCATGAGAGTTACTGTGACCATGGCTAGAGGTAGACACTACTGTTTTAACTTTCCTATATCCAGAATTTGAGTGACCACTTGAACCAATTTCTTTTAGTTTTTCTCCTGAATGATCAACAGCACTACTATGACCATGAACATTGCTGGAAACTACTGTTTCAACCTTCTTATATCCAGAATTTGAGTGGCCTTTAACACCATTACGTTTCAAATCTAATTCTGAATGTTCTTCATCATTATCACGACCATGAGAGTTACTGTGACTATGGCTAGAAGTAGACACTACTGTTTTAACTTTCTTATATCCAGAATTTGAGTGATCACGTGAACCAGTTTCTTCTATCACTTCTTCGGAACGATCATCAGCATTACGATGACCATGACCGTAGCTGGATACTATAGTTTCAACCTTCTTATATCCAGAATTTGAGTGGCCCCTGTTACCACTACGTTCCAAATCTAATTCTGAACTATCGTGATTATTGCCATGACCATGAGAGTTACTGTGACCATGGCTAGAGGTAGACACTACCGTTTTAACTTTCCTATAACCAGAATTTGAGTGACCATTTGAACCAATTTCTTCTAGATCTTCTTCTGAATGATCAACAGCACTACCATGACCATGAGTATTGCTAGAAACTACTGTTTTAACCTTCTGATATCCAGAATTTGAGTGGCCTTTGTTACCATTACGTTCCAAATCTAATTCTGAATGTTCTTGATTATTATCACGACCATGAGAGTTACCGTGACTGTGGCTAGAAGTAGATATTACTGTTTTAACTTTCTTATATCCAGAATTTGAGTGATCGTTTGAATCAGTTTCTTCTATCACTTCTCCGGAACGATCATCAGCATTACCATGACCATGACCGTAGCTGGAAACTACTGTTTTAACCTTCTTATATCCAGAATTGGAGTGGACACTGTTACCAGTGCGTTCCAAGACTAATTCTGAATTATCGTGATCATTATCGCGACCCTGAGCGTTACCGTGATCGTGGCTAGAGGTGGAAACTACTGTTTTTACTTTTTTATATTCAGAATTTGAGTGGCCTTTGTTATTTTTCAAGTCCAATTCCAAGTTACTCTGACCATCACTACGACCGTAAGCGTTACCATGACCATGACTAGAGCTGGAAATCACTGTTTTAACCTTACTATACCCAGAATGTGAACCAGTTTCTTCTGAGTGTTCTCCCAAATTATCATCACCTTGACTATAGGAGGTGACAGTTTTTTTCACAGTTGAATAGCCAGACCCTTCATGTCCACGACGATGTCCATCAAATTCATTGACTTCAGACTCTAGACCAGACTTAGATTGACCATGACCATGAGCACCATTTTTGACGTGATCTTTGCCATAGTTAGGATCTTCAACGACAGTTTTTAAAATGTATTTGGAAGGACTTCCTTGACCTTGATGATCTTCTCCGCCGAATTCTTCTCCTGAGTGACCACCAGATGCAGATTTCTCTTGGAATCTAGTGGTTTTGGTGTAGCTGCTATGCTGTCTACTGCCTCCATAACTACCTCCGTGAGGGTGGCCACTAGCAACGCCTATCAGTATTAGGCAAATCTGCAATAAAAAGTTTTTATTAGTTTTAGGTGCGTGTAATAAAAAAGAACAAGCAAAAAATGAAAGAAAGATATAAATAATTTAATCTTTAAAACAGATATACCAACTTTGGAAAAATATAAATTAGTCCTTCTCATATTGGAAGGTAAAGTATACAGCAAAAGATTAGTAAGAAGACGCCAAAACTCGTAATTGAAAGACTTGAGATGGTTTAACAGCTCCTCCGCAGAAATCTTTTGTGCAGCAGTTTCCAAAGCTGCAACTTTTATTTTTATCTACAACTAGAAGACTACGAAATAATAACTAAGCGTCTTAACGGCATAAGTCTTAAGTAAACGGCATAAAAATGCAGAAGGCAAAGGGGAATCACTGCATTAACGGCTCATAGAGCACCCCCAGGAAAATAAAAATAGAATTGACACTGCAATTTCAAACCGTTACTAATCATGCAAAGCGGAGGCCAAGATTCGACAGGAGAGGAGAAACATATTTATACCACGAGGCCTCTCAGGTTGTAAACATGCGAAAATCTCGTGAAAAAATCCTAAAAATAAAGAAATCTAATTTTAGAATGTGCACATGGAATGTTAGAAGTCTATTTGCAGCTGGAAAACTTGACAACGCAATTCAAGAAATGAAAAAGATGAAAATAGATCTACTGGGAATCAGCGAAATTAGACGGTCAGAGTCAGGATCTTGGGAAAAGGAAGGAAGTGTATTATATTATTCCGGTAATAGCACAGAAGACCCGCATCACAAAAATGGTGTAGGTATTTTAGTAACATCAGAACTGAGTAAATATGTGACCAATTTCGTACCAGTCTCAGATAGAATAATATTACTCCAAATAAATAATCAACCATTTAAAACTAACATACTTCAAATCTATGCCCCGACTGCAGATAGAAAATATGACGATGAAGTCGAGAAGTTATATCAGATCCAAGACATCTTACCTACTTACCTACTTACCTTACTTAATAAACACGAAATTTTATATATTATAGGTGACTTCAGTGCAAAAACTGGGGAAGGTCGACGAGGTCAGACTGTAGGTCCTTATGGTTTAGGACAACCTAACGATCGAGGACAGAGATTGTATGAATTCTGTAAAGAAAACGATATGATCATTGCAAACACCTGGTATAAACTACCCAAGCGACGACTATACACTTGGAAAGCTTTATTTGATGATGGCAGTAACCCTGAGTCTTCAAGAAATCAAATAGACTATATACTTGTAAATGAGCTTTTCCGAAATGCCGTCAAAAAAGTCACTACATATCCTGGTGCAGATATTGGATCTGATCATCAACCACTTGTAACAGATATTAAACCAAGGTTAAAACGAATTCAGCGACAAAAACCAAAAACCAGTGTACTTAACTTTGATGATATAAACATAAAATATAACATTAAAACAGAAATTAACAATAGAATAAAAAACATTGTAGAACAACTAGAAGATCCAGAAGAACTATGGAGTGAATTTAAAAACCAAGTTAACGAAATCTCCACAAAGAATGATTATAGAAAAAACTTAATCAAGAAAAATAACTGGATGGCAGACAACCATCTTGAAATTAATCGAACAACGTCGACTGATAAAATCTAATGTAACAGAATATAGACACCTGCAGAGAAGAATAAAAAAAGAGATCAAATTAGCCAAAGAAAATGGATGGGAGAAAGGTGCGACGAAATGGAGAATGTAATATCTAAACACGACTTATTTAATGTGCACAAAAAACTGAAATAAATGAGTAATATATTTAAAACACGCGTTCCCCCTGTACTTGTTGACACTAATAACAAAATTATTGTAAATGAGCAAGAAATACGAAAAGAATGGCAGCTGGATATATCAGAGTTGTTTGAAGATGACAGGAATAATGTTGCCGAATTCTACCAAAACTGTACTGACGGCCCAGAAATTATGAAATTAGAGGTAGATCACGCTATAAATAATGCTAAAATTAGAAAAGCTTGTGGTCCAGATGATACACCAACTGAGTTGCTGAAACTGATTGAGAATGATAACATAAACGTACTAGTAAGACTTTTTAATTCAGTATATAACACCGGAGTGATTCCCGCAGATTGGCTCAACTTCATCTTTATCGCAATACCTAAAAAACAAAATGCGAGAAAATTCTCAGAATATCGATTAATTAGCCTAATGAGCCACACTCTTAAAATTTTCCTCAGAATACTTCACAACAGAATTAGACGCAAATGCGAAGAAGATCTTGAAGATACCCAATTTGGTTTTAGAAATGCTATGGGAACCAGGGAGGCACTTTTTGCGCTTAACATTCTATTACAAAAATGCCGTGACCAAAGAAAAGATGTATTTGCATGTTTCGTGGACTTCGAAAAGGCATTCGATAAAGTACGGCATGTAAAATTAATGCAAATACTGAAAAATATCGGAATAGATGACAAGGATATTCGTGTCATTAAAAATTTCTACTGGAATCAAACTGCTATCGTAAAAATTGAAGATAACTACACCGATGAAATCCCCATACAACGAGGAGTCAGACAAGGTTGCATTTTGTCGCCAACATTGTTCAATGTTTACTCGGACCAGTTATTTAAAAAGGCACTTGAGAGACAACCATATGGAATAAAAATTAACGGGGAACTACTTAATATGATTAGATATACAGACGATCAGATAATATTGAAGGTCTTCAAATTTTGCTTAATCGTATTCACGAGATAGAGAGGAAATGGGCATTAAAATAAACTCAAACAAAACCAAATTTTTGGTATTTAGTCGTAACCCACATCCAGATGCAAAGCTTCAATTGAACGGAGCCCAAGTTGAGAGAGTTCACAAAATGACATATTTGGAAACTGCGATAACGGACCAACTAGATCCAGACATAGAAATAAGACGTAGAATAGCAATGACTAAAACTACTTTTATGAAAATGAAGTCATTTCTTTGCAATAACCATCTCAGTTTAGAACTAAGGCAAAGAATGGTTAAGTGCTATGTTTGGTCTGTACTTTTGTATAGTGCAGAAGGGTGGACGCTTAAAGTATCGATCATGAACAAAAGTGAAGCATTAAGGGTTCATAGACGAATACTGAAAATACCTTGGACAGCAAGAAAAACTAATGAAGAAGTACTAAAGAGCGTCAACAAAGACAGAGAACTGCTAAAGACTGTTACACATAGAAAAATGTCTTATCTGGGACATGTAGTAAGGGAAAGTCGATATAAAATTTTACAACTGATTTTTAAAGGCAAAATAGAGGGCCGTAGAGGTGTAGGAGGAAAACAAGTTTCTTGGTTAAAAAACATTCGTGAATGGACTTAGATACCAAATGCAGGACAATTATTCCATATTGCAAAAGATCGAGAAGCCTTCGCAATGATGATCACCAACGTCGAATAAATCTGATATGGCACGCGAAAAAGAAGAAGAACCAATTTATATTTCTTAATTTTTTAGCTTTTGTCATACCAGTATTAACTCTGATTAGAATGTCTTCGATATGAGTCTTCTGTTAGATTTTTCTTGTTGTTTCTCTTCCACTATTTTAAGAAGCTTGTAACTTGAGAATGATTTATATTGGCGGTAAAGACTTTTTTTAAAGTATTCACAGTAGCTTCTACAAAAAATGTGGTAAACATGTTTGACACATACAGTTTGGATTCCATAACGCTTTAGTTATTATCGCCAAGGCAACCAATCTCGACAAAGATTGTTACTTTGGCCGGCCAATCACAGCGCTCGTTATTAACTTCGCTGTCATTGGCCTCTTGGCGGAAGAGTGCTGCGAATTCTCAAACACGATGTGTATAAAAGAGCAGCACATCTTCCAATCGGGACTTTACTTCGCGGATAAGCCACATTAAGATAAACAGGAATATAGCGGAGATGCGCTGTCATGAGATTTTGCATTCGGTTAGGAAACCATGTTGGGGTTCTATTACACAGGACCTCCACATTAAGAGCATTTGGCTGATTGTTGTGCCTCTATAGCGAATCAGATTGCTATAGGGGGGAAAGGGATGGTCTAGAGCATTGGAGCACGGTGGGGTGATTTCTGTTTTTATCTCGAGTTAACACACCTTGCCCCAATGAATTGTTACACCCGATCGTACTAACTGGGTAAACATTTCTCATAGGCTGGGTTTAATCAAATTGCTTGCAATCGGGACTTCAGTCGTCAGATACTTCTAGCCCTACTATACCTTGTTGACCTGGTACGCTACCTAGTAACATTGTTGTTTTATTATTAATCCAAATACCCAAATCGTCGATACGTCGAATAATAGTAAGGTATACGAGAACTTTATGAAGATTTAGAAGATACCTATTTCGAAAACAAAACGTCGAATATAAAGAAGACTTTATCCACTGTCTGCAAATACACTCCGGAGCAAGAGAACCGGCGTGTTGGCTATAGAACACTTCCAGTCAGTAAGACGATCTTTTTGCAATAGAAAGACAGTGGTCTTATAACTATTCTAAATTGTGTCGAACTGACCTCAGCGATCTTCTGCACGACGACGGTAAAGAGCGAGTAGAAGGCCCGACGGGGATTGTCAATCGCTTTCACCGATCAGAGAGAAATGTGGCTTTATCGCCGTATCCTAAAAATACCATGGACAGCGAAAATCACAAATATAGATGTCCTTAAAAGAATAAACCAAGAACGCCAACTTTTCGAAACCATCAAGAAAAGGAAAACGGCGTATCTAGGTCACATCATGCGAAATGAAAAATACCAGTTCCTCCAACTTATAATCGATGGTAAAATATAAGGCAAGAGAGGAATGGGACGCAAGAAAATGTCCTGGCTCCGAAACATAAGGCAATGGACAGGGATTATTGACATACAATATCTGATACATATTCCAAGAAATAGAGAGTTAATGGAAAATGTGATCGCTAACATCCATTAGTGGATTTGCATCTGAAGAAGAAGAAGAAGATCAGATTCAACCCATAACGACGCTTCTTCACTTTAAACCTTATGCAAAAATAGTAAACATAGGAAATACTGATTGTTTGCGAAATGTGGCGCACAAAGCGACGGGCTATTGTAGAGCAAATACGACCGGCTTTCTTGTGCCTCTCTCAAGGAGAAGGAACGTGGTTATTCGAAGTGAGAAGACCGGCATCTTTATGGATTTGAGACATACACCACGCAACGGAATTCTAACATATATTGTGATTGTAATAAACTAAGTCATTGTAAGAAACGCGAACTGTTAGAGAATTCTGATTGCCGGTGTCCCCTCACCTACCACAGAGGCTCGACAGAGCTTCTCAAACGAATAAGCCGGAATCCTCGAGAACTCCTATACGAAGATGGATCCTCGTAACCTGAGATCATCTTTGAGAGTGGCGGTCGCTGAGCGTCCATATACTCCTGAAAAAGGGGAGGATGCTACGGCCGTATGGCATTATATGAGAAACCACATTGTGACGTCTACAGTATTAAAATATCGACAGACATTACATGTCCACATCATACAATATTCTGTATTATACAGGGATTGATATACATTTAAAATAAACAAAAATAAGGGAGATACACAATGCATAAACTACATTGCCATAAAAGCTTAGGGCCCGGTACTTAGTCTTTATTTAGTCTCATTAGTATTCGATCAGCTAGTGAAATTACAGAGTAACTTTCTATAATGCTTAAGGTATGTTGAATATTTAGTGCTAGTAGGAAATACTAAAAAATATTAAGAACAAAAACAAAACAGTGGAGACAGGATCTTGAGAAAAAAAATTAAATAGAAGGACAAAAGTAGAGTATTTGGAATGTTCATTTAAAAGTGGTTTTAATACAAATAAAATTAATACTTTGGATGGTAAAAGGATTTTAAAAAGTAATAGTTTTAAGTATCTTGGATTAATCCTGTCCTTCTTAAGGTGCAGAGCATTTCTGCGTAGACGTTTTGGTGTTTACCGTACATTGTCTTATCAGGTGAGATTTCGAGGTGCATTTAAATCAAAGTAAACACAAACAAATGAACGAATTCGTTTGTTAAAATCATTGTATTTAACCCTAGAACACTCTCGTACGTAATAAAACGCTTAATACTGTTAACACGTAACATTTACGTATATTGAATTAACAAATCTAAGAACAGTGGTAAATTAACGAAATATTTGTTGCAGAAATACACAAAACTCTTACTAATAACATATTCATAAAAAAAAAATAATAACATATTCAATAACAGTTTTGACACTGCTTAATTTTGTGTTCTCCGCAAATAGGTTTTTTGCATTTCGTTCAATAAGTGGTCCTCATTAGTTTAATTGTTGTGGGACAGATTGAGCAATAGTTCTCTGGACCTTTTTGGTTTTCTGTTACGACTTCAGGAGTATCTACTTTTTCCAAGACCTCAGAAATATATTTTTTTTCACGGATCAATTTTTTATTTACTAAGCGACTTAACTGGTGAGGCTCTGTAAGTTTTTTATGAATCTTCATCGTAAACTAATAATTCTGATGAACTGTGTGGTTTATTCTTTGGGATTGTCCCAAGTATTGTCAAATTATAGGGCTTTTTTTAGTTATTTCTCTGTCAAAAGAATATTAGTGATCCAGTTATCCATGGTCAGGTTCCGGTTAGTGCCGTGCATTGGAGCTGTTAAATCAGTTACAAAGCGATCGGCTAGAGGAAGGACATTTGTTAGGGTAGATTTGTCTAAATACGGTTCAGCATTGACCAAGTACTTGGTGGCGGCATCGCATAACAAAACCAATTTTAACAGGTTTATTTGGTATGTACATGCAAAAATTGCATTTTCCCCTAAAACCTACCAGTTGCTCATCAATTTTCAAATATGGACTGGAGTTGTAATTTGTTTTACAATGGTTAATAAATTCCTTCCATATTTCTGATATGGCGGTAAAAGCAGTAATTTTTCTCCTTTCAGCTCTAGTTGTCTTATCATCGAACCTAAGACAAGTAGTCAGAAATTCAAATCGAAATTTGCTTGGAGTCGCCCTGTATCTGGCACCGGAAAACGATGTACCAAACATAATATTTGATGACAAGTGATTGTCTTTTAGTACTGCAGCGAGTATATAAAGTCCCAAGAGCGCCTTCAGTTCTTCTTGATTGGTTCTAAAAGGTTCTAAAATGCCCCTAACTTCTGCCTTAGGACCAGGCCTTACATGGAGAACGTTGATTGCATGTGTTTTACCGATTGCTCTTGGCGTGGTTTCCCAAAGATATCCATTTTTGCCCTTAAGAGTATCTCCATCTGGAACTATAATGTGTTCGAGATCAATAGCGGCACCCTAAAAATAATTGAGATTAGTTTAACAATTGGCACAAACCAAATTAAATAATTACCTCCAGAAAATTGGTACTAACCCTCTCTGCGCATGGTCTGGTTGTATCATTGTTTTTAATTAAGTGCAGGCTAGCCAATGAATTATAAAATCAACCTACCCCGTTAAAACTCATACTAGGTGACACTTCTTCTTGTGCCCTAGGGGCATTTGAAAGTAGTCTTCGGTTAATTGTAGGCATTCTAGTACTCTTGGTATTTTTCCATATACATCTTAGACTTTTTTCCACGTCCTCCTCCACATTTTCTTCATCAAAAACAAAATCGGGATCAACAATGCTGTCATCAGAATAACTGTCAATTCCAGCGCTATCCACTTTAATATGATCTTCCTCACTCTCACTACTCTCGTAAATAAACCGTTCAAGTTCGGCATATGTAGCGACTTTCTACTTATTTTATAATAAAAAATGTCCGATAAAACTCATGACACGTCAAATTAACGTACGTTTATTTATCTATGAATGCTTTTCACGCGTAAAATTTACGTGTTGACCCACAGGGATCGCGACACACTAGCACCTACTTAGTCGAGATTTATATTACAACTGGAGAAAAATATTACCAATAGCCTACTCGAGGCACTTACTTGTGTGTGTGGAAGAGTTAAGTTTGACAGTAATTAGCGAGTTTTCGCAATGATTCGTAATTTTGGCGTACAAGAGTTTTCTAGGGTTAAACACCGAATTAAATATTGGCGAACGAAGTCGTTCGAGTTGGGACATGCTTCCAACCGATGTCGTTATTTCAATAAATCATCAAAATAAATCGGTGTTCAGTGTAAACAGTGGATAGAACGTAGCAAAGGAATAGAATTTATTGAGAGGTACTGTTTTTATACCTAATTTATTTACAAATTATTTTAAGAGGGTTCTTTGTTGTATAGTGCTAAGAACTTGTATGCGTTAATAATTTTGCAATGTGAAATGGACGAATGAAAAGACGCTTCAATTAATCGAGTTATAAAGAAACGAAGAGTGTCTATGGAATAAGAAGTTGAAATTATATAAAATAATAAGCAAAAAACTGATGCCTGAAAGAAAACTTGTATTGATATGAAACACAAAAAGAGCTTCAATGGCTCTTTAAAAAAGTCAGGATGTGGGACTGATACAATTTATAATTCTACTTGGTTTGCTTTTAAATTTCATTTCTAAATCATCCATAGACATTCTACATAAATTTGTAAATTGACCTAAAGTGTCAGTAGGTAAATGAATTAACAACGCATCATCTTTTTTTGTAACAAATTTGAAGACTATGCTCTCTTCTTCCTTTTTTTTGTTTTTGAAAGTCCTGCAATAATTAAAAAACTGGCAGAGTTAAAGATTACATCTTCATCTTTTACCGACATTGTAAATGGATTATCATGTAAATGGTCCTGCTTTCTAAGAACAAATAATGACCAAGTGAACACTTACGAAATCGTTTCTTAGTTCTTTCATTTGTATTCGTTTTGATTAAAATTTACCTTTAGATAATTAGGTTTAAATTCTTCTATTTTTAGCAGCACTGCGAAGCATTTCTTAATTATGGATTTCTATTCATTCGCGAATATTCCGCAGCCATAACTTTTTTTTAGTTCCTAGACCTTCCTTACCCTCTATCTCTCCTTCTTGTATTAGTTACTGAAAAGTGTATCATTCTCCTCATAATATGTGCTCTACATATATACAATTTTCTTACTTTTTACAACATCAAAAAGTTCCCTCTTCTGAAGGCTCTTATTATTATTTTCTTATTTCTGACTCTGTCCTTTCATGATATCCTAAGCATTAGGCACATGCATGATATTTCAAAAATGTTCAAGTTTTTAAATTCAATGTTCAGTCTCAGTGTCCGAACTATCGTTTAGCAGACAACCCAACTGCTTGACTTGCACGATTTCTTTTCCAGTTACATATATCTTTGCATTTGGGTAGTTATTTCTAAATATAGCCATCATTTACGTTTTCTTGATATCCATTTTAAACCCCAAGATTCGATTGTAAGAATTAGATCATTTAAAAGACGTGGAAAATGTTCGATGTTATTTACCACTATCGTTGTATCGTTGTGTCATCGGCATATCTAATGTTATTATTAAATATTCCGTTTACTTTGCCAATAAATCTTTCATTGCGTTGAAATTGAAAAGACGCAATGTTGTTGTGTGGTTTCAGTACAAATTTGTGATAACTTTTATATTCCTGGAATCCAGTCCAAACTCTTGTAAATATTTTATCATTAATTCGTGTTTCACTTTATCGAATGCTTTCTCACATTCCAAGAAACAGAGAAAAACATAATTTCAATGATACAAACAATTCTGTATGAACGTTGGCATACTTTTTTTTCGTCTTCACTCTTGACCTGTTACTGTCATTCAGCGATCCGAAAGCGAAATAGCCGCTGTAAGGCCGTCAACACTTTCGAAGCACTACCTTTATTTATCTTCAGACTGTCAGCAAGGAGGCTCATAAGGTCTGATTCACTTTTCGATCTTCAACTTCCAGCATCTTTTCCTCTTACATTTGCCGTTGAACCAGCTGTCTTTCTTCCTCTTCTTTTTTCTGAAGTATGCCAACCAAATGTTGGCATACATAAGATCGTCTATTTTGTGCCAAGTCTATTTTTTAAACTAGTTTGACTCAAGCCACTCACATTTTTACATTTCTTAAATATTATTGTATGTAGTATTCTCAACAAAAATGTTAAAAAGTGGTTCATTTGGTTTATTAGTAAGAGGTTTTTGCAAAATTTTGCCAGCAATTTGCGTAGAGCGATAAATGTAGAGCAAAGCCAATATTTTGAAATCTGGTCCGTACCGTAGATATCAATAAAGATTTTCACAATAATGTTTTTCCTTTTTTCTTCATTAAGTAACTTGCTTGATTGTTTCTGCAGACATCTGGTCCTTGGGCTTTGTTACTTTTTAAGTATCTGATAGCGTTTACAACCTCATCTTTTAAAATACTCTCTAATGGCCTTCCAATTCTTGTGGCTACTGTGTTTTGTAATCGTTAATTAAATTGTATCAATTATAAGTTCATCTTTGTCATTATGTATATCAGTCACTTGTTTTTCTTGAAGATCCCAGCAATTATTCCTTAAATTTCTTGTGTTGATTAACGCTAGCTTATATAGATTTTTAGCTTGGATCGAAAATGTAGTCATTGAGATTTTCTTTACCACCAAAATTTCTTTACGAATTATACTGTGTATATTCTGTACTTTACTTGTCCTGCCTGCGTTATTTCATCATCTCTAATATTTCTTTTGTGATCCGCCCATTTTTGTTAGTTGTTTTTTTTTTTTAGATAAAAAGTATTCTTTACATCGTCAAATAAATAATATAAACAATAAGAATATGTCTTTGCCGTTCTTAGTAATTATAAAAAAACATTCGATATAGTACGCCGTGAAAAGTTAACTAACAGATTAAGTGATAAAGAAGTTGTTAGCTGCAACGTCAGGATCAATAAAAATCATATTGACGTCAAACAGCAACCAGTCGTATTAATGAGAAATTGACAAAAGAGTACCAGATTCTAAAGAGAGTCAGGCAAGGTTGTGTGCTGTCCCTATTATTGCTTAATTTATATTAATATAATATCTTTAAACATGCTTTGCACAACTTGTATTATGGTGTAAACATTATTGAAAAACTGATAAATACCGTCAAATACGCAGGTAACGGCTAACACAGTTGAGCGATGACTTAGATGAACTACAATAGCACTAAAAATTAATTGTTATAAAATAAAAAACATGGTACTTTAATTAACTTTTGCAGAAAAGAAATTCATAAGATGATACAAAAACTACCAGTATTCAACGAAACTAAGCAAATTGACAAGGTTTAATCTTAAATATGCAGATATAACCAACATATCGTGCAAGAAGATCGTGCACTGATGGTATATTCGTTCTGCAGCAGGTAATCGAAAAACGGAAGGCAAGGAATCTATCTACCCACCTACTGTTTGTAGATTTAGAGAAGGCATACGATACGGTACCTTTGAAAAAACTGTTTCAAACATTGACGAAAGTAGGTCTCAGTAGAGAGTATGTGAATACTATCGCAAATATATACAAAAATGCAAGAAGTGTCGTTAAAGAAGGAAACTTTATATCTGAATCATTTCCAATAACAAAGGGACTTAAACAAGGATGTTGTCTATCTCCGACCTTATTTAAAATATATATTCAATCATCGCTAGGGCAGTGGAGGAAACAAGTATCCGGAATGGGAAGAGACATAGGAGATTGTTATATATAACGATGGTAACAATTTTATTTTTCGCAGATGATTAGGTAGTCATAGCAAATAATGAGGAAGACATGGACTACATGTTTAGAGAACTAAAGAAAGAATATGAAAAATGGGGCCTTAATATGAATATGTCAACGACAGAGTATCTTAAAATTGGAGATGACGAAGAAGATCCAGAGTTAGAAATTAGAAACACAAAAACATGCAAGGAATATAAATATCTCGGATCTATAATATCTAAGGAAGGCACTACCAAAAGAGACATCGAAAATAGAACGCAGCAGGGAAAAAAAGCAGTTAACATTCTGAACTCTCTACTATGGTCTAAAGATATTAGGCAAGAAACAAAATTGACAATCTATCGGACCTTGGTAGAGCCTATTATGACTTATGGAGCAGAAGTTTGGCAGATCACGAAAAAAGATAGAAAAAGAATAGAAGCAATAGAAATGGATGTTCTAAGAAGAGCGTGTGGTGTATTTAAAAAAGATCGTATCAGAAATGAAGATATTAGAAGGAGGACAAATACTGTATATTCCAGTGTAGACAGCATTGAAACGAGACAACTAGTGTGGTATGGTCGTATGAAGAGAATGAATGAAGATAGATGGCCAAAGAAAGCTTTAAATTACATACCACAACAAAGAAAAAGACCATCGGTTACCTGGGAAGAAAATGTACGACACCTAATGAGAAATAGAACCATCAAAGAAGACGAATGGATGGACAGAGAACGATGGCGGTCGAAATACGAGAAGAGGCAGAGGCTGTAGGCCTATATATATATATATATATATATATATATATATATATATATATATATATATATATATGTATATGTATATATAACCAACATTAACCAACAGATATGACCAAGATCACAACGTATTGCGAATCACTATATTGGGGGGATAAACGAAGACAGGCACTTACGCCAAAGGCTAAAAAATAGAACTGTGTATAGCAAAAAATAAAATCCAAAAATTGTCTATAGGAAGAGCTCAAAAAAGGAAAAAAGAGAGTGGAGAGGAGAAATGGAAGCAAATAAATATCTTAATAAGGGAAGCTATAAAAGAAACTGTTATCCAAGGCAAAAGGGAAAGAAATAGACAATGATATAATGAGAAATTAAACGCTTAAAGTATAAAAGCAAACTAGACTTATACAAGCATAAAGAAACAAGAAATATTACGAAAATTTACAGTCAGAAGAAAATAAAAACAAATAAGAAAAAAATAAAAGGAAAGCTGTGAAAGTCGGGTTAGAACATAACAACAGAAACGAAAAAAGAAAATTTAACAAAATAATAAAATAATTCATATAGTATTTAGAGCAAGGCTGACAATATGTAGCTAAGACAATTAGAGGAGACAAAAATTATAATTAAATGTAAAAAGCGGCTAAGAAGGAATGGATGGACAAGGAATGCCAGGAACTGGAAGAAATCAGCAACAAACATGACACCTAAAATACACACATAAAAAAATGAAAGAATTTACAGCAGGCAACACTAGACAAAGAAAGAACAAGAGATAATATTGAAGGAATACTTACTGAAAAGAGCAAAGTGAACGAAGTATAGGAACAATATATAATCCATCTGTTCCATGACGAGAGGGAAAATACCTACAAATTTTACCCTTAGAAGTAAAGCATGCCCCACAGAACGCAAAACAAGAAACAGCACCTGGTCCTGATCAAATTCCAGTTGAACTGTTAAAAGCGTTAGATGTCGGTAATATAAACAGACTCACCCGAATTCTCAACCACATAATATGTAGAGGACAACATCTCGGAGGAATGGCTTAAATCGTTATTTTTACCTCTACCAAAAAAAACAACAATCCCAAATCATGTAATGGCTATAGATTAATAAGCTTAATGTGCCACCCTTTAAAGATTCTCTTGAAAATTGTTTAAAACCGAATTTATAAGAAATGTGAGGAACAGATAGATCAAACGCAGTTTGGCTTCAGAGGAGGCATGGGTACAAGAGAGGCATTATTTGCGTTGACGGTACTCTTGCAGAAATGTCGGGAATATAACAAGAGTGCATATGTATGCTTTATAGACTTTAGGAAGGCCTTTGACCGAGTGCAGCATATGCAGTTAATCGATTTGTTAAAAAACATCAACTTAGACAAAAAATACATTGAGTTTATTAAGGCTCTATACTGGATTCAGAAAGCAGTAGTAAGGGTGAACGATATAGAAACAAATAATATACCGATGGCGAGAGGGGCCAGGCAAGGATACGTCTTGTCTTCGACGCTTTTCAACGTGTACTCACAGGTCATATTCAGAAAAGCCTTATGGGAAAGAAAAGAGAGAATAAGAATTGGTGGGGAAATCGTAAACACCATGAGATTTGCAGATGACATGGTAATTATGGCTGAGAGTATGGAAGAACTAAAAACTTAACATCAACACAGATAATACCAAATTTATGATATCAATACAGAATTAGATCCAGATCAATAGATTAGGGTACGAATAGAAATGGCACGGGTAGCGTTTTTAAAATTCAAGCAATTGTTTTGTGACAAAAATCTGAATACTGCGCTGATACTAAGGTTTGTTGAATGTTACGTCTGGCCCCAACTATTGTACTGGGTAGAAACATGGACAGTAAAAGCACAAATAGTTAAGAAGCTTGAAGCCTTTGAATTTTGGATGTACCGAAGGATCTGAGAATTCCATGGACTGCCAGGGTCACCTATGAGGAAGTGCTAAGAAGGATGGGTCGAGACAAAAAATTGTTGAGAACAAAAAGAGCACCTACCATGCAAGACTGCATACCTTATAAATGTAGTGACCAACCTCTGGTAATGGGAACGACATAGTAAGAAGAAGAATATAAAAACTTCTTCTTCTTAAGGTTCCATCTTCTAACGAAGGTTGGATATCAACATGGCAATTCTTATTTTACTTACAGCAGCTCTAAATAGTTGGCTAGAGCTCAGACTAAACCATTCCCTTAGATTTCGTAGCCAGGAGGTTCGTCTTCTTCCTACATCTCTTTTACCTTTTATTTTGCCCTCTATAATCAAACGTAGTAGCCCATAACGAGGACCTCTTAATATATGACCGAAATATTCAAGTTTCCGCCTCTTAATTGTCTGTACAATTTCTTCCCTCTTATTAACCCTGTAAAAGCCCTATAAAAACTTACTTTATTGTAAAGTTAAAAAACGTAACGAAGCTTATATGTAGACGGAATTACAGCTAAATTAATAAAAAAATACGAGAATTAAATTGTGGGGTGAAATTCATTACATATTAAGCCTAATATAGACAGAAGAGTCAATGTCCAAGGAGTGGAAAGTCACTAAACGAGTAAGAGTACGGTCAATAAACAAGAAAAAAGATAAAATGAAGAGATAGAACTATAGGCTAATTTCATTTTTAAATTTTGAGTATTGTCCTTCGAAGCTATTTTCTTGTGGCATTTAAAAGTTTTTACTATTTATATGTAATTACTCTTCAATTGTGGCTTCTTACCATTAAGATAGTAATTAGATTCTGAGAATATAATCGGCGATTATCAAAACGAGATCATTTAAGAAGGATAAGAAAAAGGATAAACGAGAAAAGCAAAAGAGTGATTTAAACGGAAGAAAACAGTCAGATAAAGACCCACTTAGTTGTAATGTCAACAAGAAGAGAAAAAGAAGTATGTATAATCTTTTTATTAGCTTTCTAGTATAACTTTGGTAATATTAAAAAATACTTACCAACACTTTCATGACACTTCACTATTTCACCAAAATCAAAAGTGTATACTCTCGTAATAATTGTCATATATATAACATAACGAGGTTATCTTAGGCCACATGATAGGAAGTCTTAACTTTTTATAAACTCATTAAATTAAAGTATAGTTTTTATTTTTTTTTGAATCGGTAAATGTTGCAAATATTGAAAAAAAAGGTCAAAGATAATTTTTATTTATTGATTAGATGTGACCAAATCTTTGTGGTCATCATTTCTGCGTATAGTCTTACGTTTTTTGATTAAATTTTTTACGATTTAGAATATAGAATAGAATATTCTATTCTATTAGATCAAAGGTTCAATATTATTGAAGATTTACCACAACTCTCAACCCATTAATGCCCAAAATTAAATTTTTATCAAAACTGAATTAAAACTTTAGAATGAAATAAAGAGAGATTGTTTTTAATAGAAATGTGCAAAATTTACGTTTTTTTTTTTCTTTGTAACTGTCTTTTTTTGACGTATGATATATCATACGCTGGCCGATGAAGGACACAATATTTCATAAGATATGTTTTATTTTAAAATATTTAAAACGTGTGATATTTGACAAAACATTTCTTGGGATGAAGTCCTACAATACATTTAATGCATCGATATTGGGTACACTTGCCACATTTGCCGTACCTTAGTTGTTTTTCAATTTTGTCCAATAAATGACCCACATTATCCAAACGAATTTCATCAGCAACATGTTTTGAAGATTTTGGACGTACTCTACGTGGTGTTGGAATATCTGGAGCTGTCAACAGGGCCTTCACAATTTGTCAGTAAAATTCTAATAAAGAAATTGTCTCAATTTTGCGGTAAAGAAGCCACATGCTATTGCCCCATTCAAGCAAAATCTAAATATCGCCCAATACCATTTTTTGGATCGAATTAGAATCCTATATAAACCTCTTAGCTTATCGAATAAGTCTACACCACCCATTCTCTTGTTATACGTTTGCACAACGTTTGGTTGAGGGACCGCTATAATTTTTCTGTCTTTTCTGGACCATCTGTTACAGTTTCCTATAGTAAATATTTCTGGAGTTGAAAATATTAGTTGCCATAGTAACTTCATTATTGTCATTCCAGCGAACAAGAGTAAGCTGATGATCTTCGCTATATAGAGCGTGGGAAGTTCCACGAATTTCTTTTTTTACTTCTTTGAGTGGGGCTTTTTCAATTCTGTCTTTTCTAATTGTGCCGATACAGTGCATCTTTTCATCTTTCAACCGTGGCAGTAAAGGTAAAGATGTAAAAAAATAATCAATATAGATAACAGATTCTTGTGGTAAAAACCCTATACACAGCTTTTCGGTTATGGAACTTCCTAATGAGTTGCCCTGTAATTTATCTCCACTTTCAGTATAGGGAAGAAATTTTGCAAGGTAACCTTTACTGGTCGCAACACACCAGAATTTATATCCGTAACGGATGGGTTTTCTCGGATAAACTGCTTCATTGAATGATGCCCATTACGGCTCCATCGCTTCGTCCACTGAGAAACTTTCGTTCACTGTCTGGAGGTAATGATGAAAACGTTCATTTAGATGGTCAATTAGGGGTTGAACTTTGAATGCTTTATTGGTTTGTTGGTACAACGTATTATCGTTAAAGTGTAAAAATCTATGAATCTGTTCAAATCTGTTTCGACTCATAGTATTATTTACTAGATGTGAGTGAGAGTCCCCTCGACATTCCCAATACATTCTTTTAGAAGACAGTGGATGGTATCCAGAGAGAATAAGGATGCCGAAGTATTTATATAAATCATCAACGGACAAAAAGAAAGGGCAGGATTTTTGTGAAGTATACTTTATTGTTTCTTTGCAAAGATAGTCTATAAATTTTTTATCAAAGAATAATTTAAACACATCGATTGGCTTTAAATTTTATTGTCTCCAGTCATTTAGTACATGGGGTTCTATATTGTTTTTGAAAACATCATTTATGTCTCCTTTCTCTAGTTCTTTTTCTTCCCACTTACGATCGATTCTTTTCATCGATTTTTTTCTGTTTTCAGAAGTTTGTGAAATTTCTGCAACCTCCCTTTTTCTTTTCTTACCTGATTCGTGAGTTTTAGCCACAGTTGTATTTGACATCACTGTTTTCTCAATTGCTGTATTTTTTCGAGAAACAGCTGTAATATCCATGCTTTGAGACAGTGTACCTCGGCCAATACTTTGAAATTTGTAATTATACTGGTGTTCCTCATCACTTCCGGCATCGTCTCTGTCAGAATCATTTCCATCATTTGGATAATACGTTAGTTGAACTTCATCACACTGGTCAATTTCCTTAGCCAAAGTATCGTCATCTTCTAAACTCTCATATATTTTCAACAATTCCTCTGCATCTTTGGGATTATTAGGATCATATTTTTTCGTCATTTTTTTCTAAAACAGAAACAGTATTGATTAGTTACCATAAGTGTCCAGCGTATTATATATCATACGCAATAATCAAAGATCTTCAAAATACTCACCAGTATAAATTTTAATACTATTTATATCACTATTCGATATTTAGAAGCCTTTCTAGTTGAACAGTACAAAAGATTTTTCAAAATAAGCCAAGAAAGTCATACAAATCTACTTAAATGAAAACGGTGTACTACTATATAATATAACCTTAAAAACTTGGCGCAAAACTAATCACTCTTCACCGCCAAGCGGTTATAAATTTTTCATTTTATGATAAACAGTTACCTTCTATCATCTATTCTGTAACCTATATTGGGAAAACAGCCAATTTATACTTTTTTTCTGACTAGTAGATGGCAAAATATGTATCAGTTATCACTACAGCGGTTTCGACTGATTGCCTTTCTCAAGTGATCTATTTTGGCTTGGGTTTACAAATTTATAGTCTCTGATGAAATAGGTTGAGGAGGGGAGAACTGTTTGTCTAAAGTTGGTCATTCAGAATTGAGACAAACAGTTCTCCCCTCCTCAACCTATTTCATTAGAGACTATAAATTTTTAAACCCAAGCCAAAATAGATCACTTGAGAAAGGCAATCAGCCGAAACAGCTGTAGTGATAATATTTAAAATAAATTTTGTGGAAGTTTGAAAACAAAGTTTTCAGTGTTTTATTGTTACATAAAATGAGTTTCCATCAAGTAACGGTCGAATTCATCAATTGTTTAATAATAAATATATATAATTTTATTTTCTAATTGAGATTCCTTCTAGAATTTTCATCTAGGCAGCAGGATTAAGTTTATAATGGGGATGATGATGTATGTAGTTGTAATTATTGGTCTATGCTGGAATTTAGGAAAGTTGCAACAGAGGTTTGGGAGAAGAAAGAGGCTAGCAATAGGTATGACAGCTTAAAAAAAAGGAAGATAAGGATGTATACAAGGAAAGCATAGCCCGCTTTAGCTACTACTAAGAAAAAATCATGTGCACAGCTAAATGAAAAATTGGAAATACTTGATGGGATATAGAAAATGTTATATAGCATTACTGAAGAAAGAGAAAAGTTATCAAAGGGCGAGTCACGTGGGGCAGATTAAGAGTGCGAATAGAAGAGTGTTCAGAACCGATGTTGAAATAAAGCAAAGATGGTATAAGTAATTTTTGAAGTTGCTAAATAATGAACATCAGAGAAGATTATGCGGGATCCCAAATAAGAATATAATACAGGGAATAATGAGAGCTGATTAACCTTTTTATGAAAGTATTGAAAGAGAAAGTAAGGAAGTGGAAACTTTTTTTTGGTGCTTTTTTCAGGTGACATCGTATTGGTAGAGAAGAGCAAAGAAATGTTTGAGCAGAAGTTGGAGAGAGGAAAGTGCTATTAAAGAGAGAGGACATAAGGGTGACTATAATTTCAAAAAAGTAAACAATAAAGATTACAACGGTTTGTTCACGTCAGATGTAGAAATAAAAACTATGTGAGATGAAGGATAAAGTTGTTAGAAATTGATGAAAAAAGAAGCAGAAGATGAAAAGACTGTGTGGCAAACGACTTAAAAGTGAAACGTTTAGGCAATGAAGACAGAAACGAGAGAAGAAGCTCGAGAACTTCACTTGTTGCGTTTTTAAAGCTGTTCTTAAAGCCCGTTTTTCTGGAAGATATAAATGTAGGACAGTGATTGTATTCTCTTTGCCATTTTGCGGAGTAAAAGGTTGGTTTTTTGTTATAATTATGTAAAATTCTAAGACGGTGAGAATATTCGGCAATTTGTTCTCCTTGTTGGTTGAATTAATTTTATTCCAATGCATAATGGTGGCTTTTAAAGTCTCCAGAGTTTATTGTCAGGTGACAAAATGTAGGGAGCACCTTTTTTTGTGGCCATCTTGAATTTGTTTAAATATTAACAATAGTTATTTTGTATACTTTCACTGCAAGAATAAAACTCTGTTATGTCGAGTAAGAATGACATGTGCTTAAAGATTTAATGTCTGCTCTACAATAAGTCACGATATCGGTGTAGCATGGTTTACTGAAGCTATTAATCTATATCCAGGTATTTGGTTATGGTGCTTTAATTAAAGATTGTCTGCAGTATGTATTACTTGAAATGTCACATCGTCAGTTTGTTGTTTGCCAGAAGATTGCTAAGATATCCGTTCTTTCGTCGGTTGATGCTTTCAACATTTACTTATGAAGTATCAACTATTAGCAAATATTAAGAATAATACCAAAATTACATATTTTCTATCTTTGCTCTGAATATATCGTTTTTCTCATCTTTTAACATTGATCACAAAGAGTTAATTCATCTAATTGGTGGTATCTTATCGATAACCTAATTATGAAAAAAGTTATTTTAAAGATTCTTCACATTCAATCCATGCAATTAATGCTTAATGTTTACTGTTACATATTAGAAAATTTGTGTTTTTAAGAAAAATTCCGTTTTGAAAAGGCTCTGAATCATTTTTTGATGTGGCATGTCTAAGTTAAATATTGTGTTTATGTAGATTAAGCCACAATTAATTGTATGTATTCGATTTAGTAAAGTATTAGGAAAGTTTGTAAAAAATTTAAAATACTAAAGCTAAAATGATGATATTTTGTATATAAGTAAAATGCGTGTCCAAAGTGTATATGATAACGATGGTCCTCGAGGTAACTGATGCTCAGGGTAGACCTTGTCTCCTGAAGTATTTTAATTTCACTAGAAATTAGTTCAGAGTCATTACTTGGCAGTTTTCGAGGTCGCCAAACACGAATGTAATAACTATGAAACTATATAAGCTCTCTGGTGCCATTATCATCATCATCACGTAGCGCTACAACCCTGGTGGGTCTTGGCTGACTGTACAACTTTTTTTTACTTTGTTCGGTCTTCCATCAACCTAGGGTCAAATGGAATGTTCATGTGCACGTGGCCTGCCCCTCTTAGTCGCTGTAATTTAATTTCTTGGACAATATTGGCGTCGTTGTAAAGTGCCTTTAATTCGATATTGCTTTTGATCTTATACTGGTTTGTGGTGATGTCATGGTGAGGTCCGACAATTTTTCTAAGTATTTTTTATTCAAAGCGTCTGACGATGATTTATAGATTTTGATCTTTGAACTTCTTGTGAGATTTTTTTGATTTTATGAGCTTATCCAGTGCAAATAGACAGCGGTTTGCAGATTGGATCCTGTCTTTTATTTCTTCAGTGACATCGTTGTCAGCTGTGATTATGGCCCCCAGATACTTAAAACGTTATACTCGTTCGAAATTGAAGGTGTTTATTGTCACATTTTGTCCTATTCTGTCTCTTCGTGTCGTTCTATTTATACACACATATTTCGTCTTCTCTTCATTAATCTTCAGCCCTACTTCACTTGTTGCTCTTTCCACCTTGTTGAAAATATCTTTCGTGGATAGTATGGACTCTCCAACGAGATCTTTGTCAACTGCATATGCGAGTAACAGCTTGAAACCTTAAACCGATAGAAATTCTGTTTTTATTTCGGCCGACCTCATGGCGTTCTCTAATACAAGGTTTAAAAGTAGTGGAGATAACGCATCACCCTGTTTAAGCCCACTGTATATTTTAAAGCTGCCAGACAGTTTATTATTTACACGTACTTTAGATATTCCACTCTCCGTACAGACTTTGGTCATCCGAATGAGTTTCTTTGGTATTGAGAACTCTGTCATGGCATTTCATACTTGGCTTCTTTCTCCGCTATCATATACCTCTTGAAGGTATATGAAAAGATTTTGTATGGGTCCGTTATACTCCCATCCCTTTTCTAGAAGTTGTCTCGGCGTGAATAGTTGATCTATTGTTGATCTGTTTGCCCTAAACCCGGCTTGATATTCGCCTAGGACATTTTCTGCATAAGGGATTAGTCAATTAAGAATGATGTTTGAGGATTTTATATGCCGTGTTTAGAAGTGAGATTCCTCTATAATTCGCGCATTTTGTTTTGTCCCCTTTTTGTGGATGGGCACTATTATGTTTTTGCTTTCATCGTGATGGTATTCTTTCTTCTAACCATATGTGCGTTATTAGCTGGTGGATTTGGCGATGTAGTGCGTCTCCCCCCCTATTTCAGAAGTTCTGCTGGTATCTTGTCCGTACCCGGCGCTTTGTGATTTTTCAGCTTATTTAAGGCCTTTTGGGTTTCTTCAAAGGAGGTATTTTTGACGGGCATGTCCGCTGTGATATATATCTCTTTTTCGCGCTGTTCTTCCTGTATGATGTTTAGAAGGTCCCTAAAATACTTTTTCCATTCTTCAGTTACTTCTTTGTCGTCGATTATTATACGGCCTTGATTGTCTCTCAGTGTATGGATGGAATTGGTTTTTTGTCCTCTTTTCTCAGAGGAAATCGCTTTAAGAATTCTCTGGAGTCTGGTTTGGGCCGGTCTCTCTCCATAGTTTCATATTTTTGTTGTTCATAGTTTCTTTTCTTTGTGCGTATTATTTTTCTTGATTCTTTTTGGCAGTCGTCATATTCCTTTTTACTTTGGTCTGTTTGCAGTTGTATCCAAGTCTTCCTTACTGTTTGTCTTTGTTTCAGCTGTTTTCGACATTCCTCGTCATATCATACCATGTTTTTGTCCTATTCTACCTACTTCTTCCATACACTTGCAGATCTTGTCAGCTGTCTTGGTTATTATTTCGGCAGCCGCTTGTTCTATATCATTGTATTCTCTTTCAGAGTTCAAGGTCTGTTCAAGTTGTTCTCTATAGTTTTGTTATTTCTCTGAATTGTGTATTTCGTCCACGTTCTATTGTGGGTTTATTGTTGTTTTATTGTATTTGTGGTTAGCTATTCTGCATTTGACTTTTGCTCTGACTAAGTAATGATCTGTGTCTCCGTCTATTCCTCTCAGGCTTCTTACGTCTATAATATTGTTACCATGACGGGCATCTACAATGATATGGTCAATTTGGTTTCGCGTAATATGGTCGTTTGAGACCCAGGTTTG